CCCTCCGCTGCCCGCTGCCCCCCTACCCTGCCCGCCACCAGGCACCCGGCTTGCAGGCGCGACCGCCCGTCTTCTTGGTCCCCTCCATTCAAACCCCGGACGCGACTTAGTGCCTGGGCCCTCCCAGCTGTCACTATCCCCTCCCGCATCAAGGGTCCTTGTAGCAGAAGGAAGAAACCCCTGAAGCCAGAAGCCAGCAGAAGATGGGAAACAGGGTAAGGTCTCCATTACAGCCTTGGGCACATCCCTTGTTGCCGCCCTTGAAGCCTATCCACACTTGTCCCTCACTTTCCGTCTTCTCCCCTCCCCCAGCCACACACACATTTCTTTCATTCTGAGTTTGGACCAGCCTCTTGGTCATTGGTGTGCGCTCTCCCTTCCTCTCTGTCCTTCCTGACATGGGGCTCTAACGTGACCTTTGGTTCAGCCCTCCGACTCCCACCCTCAGGTTTCTTCTCTCACTCTCCCCAAACTATTTCCCCCATCCTTCCTCTGGGTGTCTCTTTCCCACATCCCACGTCCTCTCGGCGCCCCCTCACCGTTCATCATCTCCCCCTTCCTGCCTTCTCCGCTTCCTATTTCACTCCCCTCTCTTTTGGTCTACCTTTGTACCCCACCTATCTCCAGCCCTCCAACATCACCAATTAGTTTTTCTTTGCATCTTCCTGCCCAGTTTCCTCCCAATCTTCCTCCCCTCCCGTCTTGTTGCACCTCTCAGGCTCGCACACCTTTTTAACTCTGTCTCTCTTATTTCATTTTTCTCTCCTTTTCTCCCCTCAACTCATGAATTTCCCATTTTTGTTCCTCCTTCTCAAACATTTCTCCTACTTGCATTCAATAAACATATTAAAGAGCCCCTCATATCAAGCCAATTAACCTGTTTTTCTATAAAATGCAGACTTTAATGAACTCGTTTTTATTCATTTTTTCCCTACTTTTTCGTTAATGGTTTTTTTTTAAAGGTGCTTTTCAGCTCTAAAATTTCATATTTCTCAATACTTAAGTATATACAACTTCTCTCCAAGCTCACTGCCACCACCTCAGGCCAAGCCACCATCACCTGTTGCCTGGTCACTGCAACTGCCTCCAAACCAATCTCCCTGCTTCCCTGCTTGTCCTTCTAAAATCCAGTCTCTGGAGGAGATGTTAAAAACAACAACAAAAACAAAACAAAACAAAAAATCTTGTCACTTCCTGTTGAAAATCCTTAATACCTTCCAATGGCACTCTTACTCCTATTGTTCCACTGGATTTGGCAAATGCCATACCAGACTCTGCCTCAGCCACACTGGCGTCTTTCTGTCCTTGAAACATACTTCCCACCAAATTGCCTTTGCACACTCTGTTCTCTGTGCCTGGATGTTCTCCATTCACCCCCACCCACCTTCTTCTACCCAGCTAGCCAACTAATCCTTCAGCTATAAGCTCAAATATCACGTCTGCGATGAAGCCCGGCCTGACTACCCCACCCCGGACTGAGTCAGATCACCTGCTGACTGCTGTCACCGCTACTTACACTTTACTTTCAAAGCTCTTATCATAGTCTGAAACCATTTACTTTATGTGGCTATTTATTCAGTGTCAGTCTCCCAACTGTACTAAATTCCAAGAGGGCAGAGATGTATCTGGGGTTTATCATCAATAAATATTTGAGGACTAAGTGAATAAATTTGAAAACTAACAATATTTTCATCCCCTGTTCAGCGAATCCCTTCTGAGTGCCTGTATAATGTACCAGGCACCATGTTTGGCACTGAGGCTACAGTTGTAAACAAGACAGATAAGGGCACTGTACTCATGTAACTTGGATTCTAGAGAGAGGAAGCAGACAATAAAGACATAAACAAAATGGTAGATGTTTTGAAGGCAATAAAACAGGTTAGTGTGATGAGACTGTGTCCATTCCAGAGTGAGGTTAGGGAGACCTTTCTAGGAAGTGAGAATAAATGATCCAGCCATGAAAAAAGCATGTTATAGCCGGAGGTAACAGCAGATGCTAAGACCCTTCGAGACTTGTAGTACTGACTTAAAGCAGGATCTCTTAACCCCACACTATTGACATTTGGGGCTAGACAATTCTTTGATATGGGTGACGGTCCTGTGCATAGGATACTTAGCATCCTTAACTTTTAGTGATTAGATGCCAGTAGAACCTCCCCCTGAACTCCAGTGTGACAATTAAAAAAAAAGGGTGCAAGGAGCAAGTAGACTGATGGTTAGAATTAACCAAGGTTGGTTGCTAAAAAGAGAGAGAAGGGATTTTTAAGGTACTTGCATGAGAGTGTTTTATGTGTTAGATCATTGATATAAATTGGGTAAGAAGGAGAGTAAACATTAAAAAGGGTTGGTGAAGTGGAGGGGGTCAGTTGCGGGGGGAAATGGTATACCTGAATACTCTCAACAATAAAGATAAATTTAAAAAGTAAAAAAAAAAAAAAAGGGTTGGTGAATGGCACAAAAACTGATAGGATCAATGATTGAGAGATCTCTATGAAGTGAAGGGAATATATGAGTAAATACATAAGTAAATGAACTGGAAGGGTAGGAGGTGATCATCAGAGGTGGGGGGCTCAAGTTCAATAAATTGGAGGAGGTTGTTTTTGGAGATGACAAAGCCTAGGGATGGGCTAAAGAAAAGAAATCATTGGAGATGAGACTGAGGGCTGAGAGGCTACAATGAGATGGCGTGCCCTCGTGGATTTTGGAGTCAACAACAGTGACGATAGGGACATACGTGTAAAGAGGAAGATGATGATCCAGGTGCTCAAGTTATCAGTGAATGCGAGTGAATGAGCAGGCTGGGGGGCCCCAGCAGCAATCAGAGGCAGTGGGTGATACACTTGCAGACATGAACTTCAAAGGAGCAGAGGATTTAGAAGGATGAAGGAAGAATAATGGTCTAGAAACTACATCGGGGAGCAATACTACCAGCTCCAGACCCTGAGATATAAGAAATAAGACCAAAAATAAGCCTCTGTTAAGAGGGCTGCCAGGGAAGAGTGTCCTCCGAGAGAGCCAGGTTTCAGAAAGGTCTAGGAAAGGAGCATTCACAGAACAGGCTGGAAATATAAGGGTGATGGTAGATGAGTTCAAAGGTCTTAGAGAGTCTGAAAGATCGAGTCTGGTTGGGGCGTTGGGTCAGATTAGGGGATCTACACCGCAGCATGGGGATGACAGGTGATATGATGAGGTAAGCGACCTGGTATGGGAACCTGGCTAATTTGTTTCTATAGGAAAGTGTGTTCTGAGTTCTGAAAAACTCATAAACTTTTGAAACTTGCAATATTATTTTAACAGTATGCATTATTACTCAAAAACTAATTATTATATTGATCACTGATTATGATTTTACTAGTTAGGCCAAGAAGTTATAGCCCCAAGGCAGATAAAATAGTCCAAGCTCTAATTCCACCTTGTTTTATTTTGTTTTTGTTGTTGTTATTGTTGTTTTCAAAGAGAAATATCTACTTGTTGTTCCACTTACCCATGCATTCACTGGTTGACCCCCAGATGTGGGCTATCAGGACCGCATTCTAACCAGCTGAGCTAC